CGCTATCAATCAAATTATTTTTTTCAAAATTTATACTATAAGGTATGGGGATAATCTGGATTCAGAATTTTTTTTTGGTCATCTCCTTGACCACAATATTTTTTTTCATCAAATTGGGGATCAGAATATTTTTTTACAAAAAAACCATAACCCCACCTTGAAGTTAAATGGTCGTTCCCTTATAACTTGCTCTACGGTATATGGTAGTTGCTCATTGTGGAAAGCCGTATGGTGACCTTCTACGTCATATGGTCTATGGTAGACAGTTGTCTCATTGGCAATCATACCACATCTTTTGTATTTAGTTGTTCGAGTCATATTTTATTGTAAATCCCGGTCAGGTTTAATAAACTACGAAAAGTTGGTGAAAGGGTTTAAATCTCACCCAAAAATTCACTGTATTTAAAATTCTCCAGTCAAAATTGACATACGTGCTTAAATGAACATACTACTAACTATCGGACTGAAGAAGTCAAGGACGTAACCTAATGAATAGTACACATAAAATACACTTGTATTAACAACAGTTGACCCTTGTAATCCAATAACTAGAACATATAGAAAAAGAAATCGGTTAATTTAAAATTTGAAAATATAAAATTTGAATATATTTTTCACGTATGAATATTTCAAAGGAAATAGACACTTTCGCGATAAAAAATACTTATTTCTTATGAAACAAGAATCATGCAATCTTATTAGTTAATTACCCGGGTGTAAATAACACCCCATCCCAATTCACCCGGGTGTAAATAACAACCCAACCTAATTCACCCGGGGTTAAAATTTTGTCAAAAATTTAAAAAAAAAAATTTTTTTAACAAATTTTGGCAAAAAAAAAAAAAAAAAAAAAAAAAAAAAAAAAAAAATATATGTCCAACCCCCTCCCCCCTTTCTTAATTCCAAAAACAAAGAAAATCCAAATATGTGGTATTTGACAATGCGAAACAACATCGTGTTGAAAAAATGTGTAGTGGAAGTTGAAGTGAGTTCTTCATAAGCATTTTTCAATTTTACACCCCAGTATAAAATGAGTAAAGTAACACTGTACATAAAAAATACATTCGACATCTTGTGTAAAACTCAGTACACCCCTGATTACACCAAGATAAGTTATATTACGCGAGCAAAATCCAACATTGACATGTTAATATTTATTCATTTAACTTTTATTTCGGAAAATGATGTATTTATCTCGCGAAGGACTAACTATTAATGCTTACAAGTTTACAAAAAGGGGTTTTTATAGATACAGGTGTTGTATTACTGAGGAAAATATCTATTTGAACATTATTTCACTCAATTGTTATTCATTAAGTTATTAATTATGTAGTGGGTGGCCTAGTGGTCTTAAAGCAAAAAATGAACTGATTAGAACAACGAAATGTATAACATCAACACAAGATGTGGTTACTTGTTTTACTTGTGATCTTGTTAAACCCATCGTATTACTCATTGCAAACACATATACGGGGATAAAACGCATTTGTAATGTCACAATCTAGGAAAAGAGGACGGAACTATTGGAAAGACAAGTGGAACATATTCTAGGTCATCTGTAACACAGATATACCATAGCGGTCGACTAAATCATGATAGCTTTCGAATGGATGACTTCAATATTACTTTTCTGAACCTTTGACGAAAACTTCCATGTAAGCAGTAACCCTATCAATGAAATCATGATAGGAAACGGAACTCCTGGAATATCATATCAACTGGAAATATATACTTCAGATGCAGAATTGCTGTTATGTTGCCACACAGGAATGGAAAGTTCACAATGGGAAAAATTTGAATCTCCTCTTTTGTCTAAACGTTTAGTTTAGATGTAAGTAAAATATGAAGCAGACTTAACTGTATCTGTGTAGCATTTGAACGAAGTTCAGATAGGTACAGTCAACAAACTTGGAATTCTGCAGTGAAAGGACATCATCTACATGTTAATAACTAAAATTCAATTTAAAGGTTAATAAGATCACCCCCGGTTTTAGGTGGGGTTCTTGTTGATCGGTCTTTAGTTTCAATAAAGTGTTTTGTATACTGTTGTTTATCTGTTGGTCGTTTTTTCGTTTTTTGCCATGGCATTGTCAGTTCGGTTTCGAATGGTGAGTTTAAATATCCCCTTGGTATCTTTTGCTTCTCTTTTAATGCCGGCTTCTCATCATTTTCACCGAGAAGCCCCTTTATGAAGTCTGCCTCATACGAATAAAGGAACATGTCGACAAGCAAAGGGGCACAGTTTGTTCCCATATCATAATAAAATTGAGAATGGAAATGGGGAATATGTCAAAGAGACAACAACCCGACCAAAGAGCAGATAACAGCCGAAGGCCACAAATGGGTCTTCAACGCAGCGAGAAAACCCCGCACCCGGAGGTGGTCCTCAGCTGGCCCCCAAATAAAATTGTGTACTGGTTCAGTGAAAATGGACGTCACACTAAACTCCAAAACATATAAAGGAACTAAAATTAAAAAAACATACAAGACTAACAAAGGCCTGAGGCTCGTGACTTGGGACAGGCGTAAAAATGCGGCGGGGTTAAACATGTTTTGTGAGATCTCAACCCTCCCCCTTTACCTCTAGCCAATGTAGAATAAAGAAACACATAGCAATACGCACAATAAAACCCAGTTTAAAAGAAGTCCGAGTCCGATGTCAGAATAGTTAACAAAAGAAACTAAGCAAAATGACAATGATACATAAATTAACAAGGGACTACTAGCAGTTACTGACATGCCAGCTCCAGACCTCAATTAAACTGATTGAAAGATTATGTCTTCATCATATGAAAATCAGGTACAATCCCTCCCGTTAAGGGTTTAGTATCATACCATCATAAAATATATGAGAAGAACATAACCCGTATCATGCCAACAACTGGTTTTAGAATAAATGTGTTTATTTCCGATGCAAAGACCCTATGAGTGAATCAATATAAATACCAAAATATGCAATCCTTAATGATCTGACAACAGTATCGTAACTATATCTCTTCCGAATAAGTCTGTTTACAGGTTTGGTTAGCTTTTGAGGTGAATGCCGACATTTTTGTGCTTTATTAAAGAATATTACAATAAAATATTGGATGTGAAATACCTGAACGTATAAGATGTCTGCATGTTGATTTATATTTACGAATGCTGTCCTTGTACCGATGATAAAATTTAATAAATGTTTTGACTAGTTTGTGATATCGAAAACCCTGGTGTAATAATTTTTCAGTAATACAGAGATTTCTTTCGTTTTGTGCCGTGCACCGATCTTTTGAGTTAAGCTAAATGCAACTGATTTTTTACAGTTTGTTCTTATGTTGTGCTTTTACACCCACTGTTCAAGGTAAGGGGAGGGTTGAGCGCTCACAAACAAGTCTAACCCCGCCACATTCTTTATGTGCCTGTCCAAGTCAGGAAAGTGTAGTTGATTCATGTCTGTCATATTTGTTTTTCGCAAAAATTTAAATTATAAGTTATAAAATAAAATAAGTTATAAATAAGGCCGTTTAGATTTCTCGTTTGAATTGTTTCACATTTTCAATGTCGGGGCATCATATAGCCGACTATACGGTGTGAGTTTTTCTCATTATTGAAGGCCATACAGTGGCCAATAATTGCTTATATCCACTTCATTTGAACTCTTTTGGATAGCTGTCTCATTGGCAATCATACCACATCTCCATATGTTTATATTCAGTTTTCTCGGAGGGTTGAAAATAAACTCCTCATAGATACCAGGTTTAAAATCAAGTGTTCTTATTTGGTAACTAAAAAAAACCGAATACACGTTTAAAATCTTAAAGTTCATACTCGGACATTAACATTCATGTCTTCAAATTGGTATTTGTTTGTTCAAGAAAAGTACATTTCAAGAACAAATTGAGTTCAATGTGTCAAGCATGACAATAAATATAAAGATGAAAAGACTTTACAAATATAATATTTGATATTAACAATAAAAATAATCCTACCATAGGGTTAAACAAACATACTACGAGTACATCATTTACTGTATTGCACTTTGTTATTCTCACCCTTTACTCAACTTCTTTATCAAAATATGAAGAAACCTCAATATTTTAAAGTGCACTACGTCATAAGTTTGCTGTTAATCGACGTATTAACGACTTGTGTAGTCTAAAACGTCACTGAATTTTTTTGAATGAGCATTTTAATGTTTATGTTGTACAATCTTGAATGAAAACCCTTTTGTTGAGTATAAAAAGTATTTCTTTCCTGGTTAACCTATTGTGTTCTGACATAATAACATGCATTCAATTTTTCCGCAGCAAAAATGTCAAAATATCAATTAAACTTTGTGTTCTTTAAGTTATAGTAGGGTATTTATCCTTAAATAACATTTTTGATTTTGTTTTTATGGCCTGGTACTCTAATGTCCGAGGCACAGCTCTGCGTATGATAAGATCGAAAACCATAATTCACTATGTCTTTGTATTTGTGTTGTTGTTGGGTTGTATACATATATCGAATGTGTACTTATTTTAAAATTCTTGAAAGTCCACATTTATTTTTTATTGGTTGCTTGTCCTCATGTTTTTGTAAAACAGGTATTATATAGTTTAGTTCTTTTCTGTTCTGATTTTAATGTTACATTCTGATATGTGTCTTTCTGTATTCCACTGGTTGACATTAAAAGGGGGAGGGTTGCGATCTGAATAAAAATTTTCCCGCCGGATGTTAATGTACTAGTTACAAGTCATGAACTGCTTAAGTATGTTGATGGAAGATCTTTGTTAGTTTATTGTCTTTGAAATTCACAATTGTTAAAGATTCGGGGCAATTAAGAGCTTGACATATTGTGATAAAGACACTGGTCTATAATGTTGAAGAACTTTGGGTTGCTGTCTAATTTTTCGAACTTTTCAATGAAAAAAAAATCTATTTTATCATCATTTTTGAAAATAAAAATATAAAATATATAATTTAAAAAAAGATACAACAACAACAACAACAACAACAACAACAAAACCAACAACAACAACAACAAAAATGATAATGATAATGACAACAATACTGATTGTGTAGTAAGATGTTATTAAATGTTCACAAAAGTTCTGATCTGTGATTTGATAGCCTCGACTTCGTGTGTATTTAAAGTTGACAAATGAAAATAACTGAAGCAATACGTTGATGTAAGTAAGAACTGCCGGTATTCCAGAAAAAGAAATTACAAAATCGGAACATTATTAATATTTATGTCCAATTAAGCTATACAATGAACTAAGATGTTCTGTCTTTTTAACAGTCTGAATGTCGTTTTCAATCCGATGTTGTTGGCGTTATCCGGGTATTTTTCATCAGACGGATACATCGCCTACAATATATTTATAGCACTTTCCTGTATGTATACACCATTAGACTTTTTATAAGTGCTGGTTCCGAACTTTCTAATAAAGGTTAATATCGATTCGCAAAAAAACAAACAAACAATACAACAAATAAGAAAAAAATAGGCAGTATAGTGTGTTCTTGTGTTGTGTTGTTGCTCACTGTTCCAGGTTAGGGGGAGGGTTGGCGCCATCGAACTAGTTTAACCCGCCACATTCTGTATGTGCCTGTCCCAAGTCAGGAGCCTGTAATTCAGTGGTTGTCGTTTGTTGCTGTGTAACATATTTGTTTTTCGTTCATCATTTTGTACATAAATTAGGCCGTTAGTTTTTTCGTTTGAATTGTTTTACTTTTGTCATTTCGGGGTCTTTTTATAGCTGACTATGCGGTATGGGCTTTGCTCATTGTTGAAGGCCGTACGGGGACCTATAGTTGTTAATTTCTGTGTCATTTGGTCTCTTGTGGAGAGTTGTCTCATTGGCAATCATACCACATCTTCTTTTTATAGTTAAATATACTGTAAAAATCTTCAATAACTGTTTTGTGATAAGGCAGAAGATCTCGGAGCCCATTTCAATACTTAAATGATATGTGGTGCCACTGAGGTTCTGTTACCCCACCCTTTTCATATAATTAAGATTTTAGAAATGTATACCTTTTCATATATTGCGTAGGTAAAAATGAGAATCACATTAAGACATAATCGAGAAAATCTCACCTTTGCTCGGAGCTCAGATTAAAGGCTCAGATTCTTATGTAATGTTTACTTACGGCGAGATTTTCGGCTGTGAAAAAAATTACAGGGCTTTCCATATAACAAGAATTGAGGACTTTATTGACCTTATTATATATTGCTGATGGTTTTCCCCACCTATTCACATATTTGTATGCTGGAAAATGTAACCTATTCCAGCGGCACGTCATGTCAATTTGTATATATAAAGTGCCCCCCCCCCCCCCCCCCCCCCCGAGCAGTGGGTACGATTAACAGATTTTTAACTTTCAGCTAAATCCTCTTTTCGGGGTGCAAAATACCACATACTTACAACAGAAATAAACTTCATCATTGAATGTTAGGAACCATGTAATATTTCATAAATCATAACAATACATAAGAATATATGCCCTTTATTGTTTCAAAAAACAAAGGTGACAAATTATTTCGAAAATTACCTCTTTTATTATGATTTTGTATTCAAGACAACATTCGCCAACATAAGTGCACTAAACCAGTTTTGTGAAGGTACTTTTATGTTACAAACACGTGGCTGTCCTTGACCTGATCAGAAAAAAAAATATCTAATTAATTTTCTTCATACCTCAAAAGAAGATATTTTCAGCTTGTTTGTCATCGTAGATTGTTTCTTATATTTTAGTCAAGTACTCTAAATATATTTTAACAACAGATAAGGCTTCAATTAATATTGATACATGAAAGAATATTCATGAGTTAATATTTGTGAAAGTACATATTTCAAAAGAGTTAAAGAGTTATTGAAATTAAAATATTTTTCATATTGACACACTGAACGAATACCATTTAAGATCCAAGGTTACCGATCCAAGGCCTATCGATCGACAAGACATTTCTTTTATGCGTGCGTTGTTTATTTTTCCTTTTAAACAATAGCTTAAATGACTTATTCTACTTACATGAAATAGTATATTCAAATTACACACAAATAGTATATTTCCGTGTGCGTACATTTTAGTACAAGGAAGACTTGGGTGTGTACTCGAGAATAGGAAGAGACAATAAAGTGGTGGTACAATCCTTTTGATGTGAAGGCACATCACCTTCGTCACGTAACATAATTGTATACAATTTTCGAATAATTCAACTTTTTTTAACCAATGAAAGAATAGAAAAATAAATGACTATTGTAATCTGCGCAGCATCAACAATATGATAAATTTTGTTATTGCTCGCGTGGTAAATATTTAAAATACCCTTAAACTTTTATACCTAGATATTTTTTGGCTAAAAGTATTCGCTATTCGGTTTAAGTCCCATTTGATCACAAAGTATTTATACATCCCCGGTTTTTTTTATATTTTTTTTATTCTGAGTGCTGCACTACATTCAGAAAGTGCTATTTTTATTATTTTTAAAATAAACTTTTCTGTTAAAGATTTGTCTGATAAAGAAAAGATGATTTTTATGCTCAGTCCATCACAAGTTAATAAATTGGGGTCCTACATTAAAAGTCATTAGAACTGAGGACAGGGGACTCTGGTCTATTTACTGTAATCAAATGATTGCGTATATATGTGTGAATTTCAGTTATATTGTATACTTATTTTGTATTTGTCACAAACTTATTGTTTAAAGTTTATATGGCAAAACATCTTTGAATTTGAATTTGGAATTGATTTTTATTATTGCATAAAATTGAGAATGGACTGATCGTCAATATATGTAATACAACATCACAACCGCTGCTAATAATTTATCAAGTATTTTATATAGGAATAGTGTAAGTAAATATATGCAGTCTTTATTTTACTAATGGGGTACTATTTGAAACATGTTAACACATGTTACGCTATCGTGGGTGATTTCTTTAGGGGAAAAGCACTCATAACATAAACGTTTTTAAAAAGGGCGACACAAACCATCACAATAAAAGTTCTATTCAGCTAAAATTGTACCAAGATTACTTATATATGTTACCTCCTGTTTTCCAAAATTTGGCCACGTAGTAAGACTATGATATCTACATGCGCAATGGAGTATGGTAACTATTCTGCAGTATCTGGTTGCACTGCATGTGCATAAGTTCTAATGCCCCACCTTTACCCCCCAAAAAATCGGATTTTTGTATTCAGGTATAACCAGAGAGAACTTAAAAAACTAAAAGAACTGAAGTTTTATTAATTTTAGTGATCTTTTGAACGATACAACTTAGAATTGTGCACGTGACGAAAACGATTCTATCCTATTTGAATAAAGCACAAGCAAAATGGTTTTTTTTCGTGATGTCGCCCGAATTAATTTTGTTATGAATTTTTTATTCAGTGCTTCGAGGTAAAACTATAAATATGTTTCAGGTTTTGACATATGATTGAGTGCACAGTTTTATATGAAATTATTTTACATCTCTTAAATGTAAGTTAAGTGCACCGTGTTACCTATAAATCACAAAGAGATTTATATGCGATATTGTTTTTACATTTTAGTTTCCGGTATACTTTACTATAAGTTATACTGTAGTAAAATATTCTGGCTAATCCTGCCATTGGATTAGTTACCTTGTCGGAGTATATGAGCTCATATACTCTGTTAACAATAAATGACGATCAGAATGATAATTAATATATAAATATATATATATGATTATTATTCGGATATGAACTGTCTCGTGGTAGCGTATTGGTCTCGAGTGTGGAAGGTCGTGGGTTCGAAACCCGGCCGGGTCAAACCAAAGGATGTTTAATTGATATTTGTTGCTTCTCTGATAAGCACGCAGCATTAAAGAGTAAGCGCAAAAACTAGTCGACTCGGAGTCAGAATAATGTGTCTGGGTTGATGACTTATCTTCATTGCAGTTTGATACCTTCATAACTAGCACGTTAAAAATCCGGTTCATCTGTTGTCTAGTACAAAGCATAAAGTTACATTGTTATGATTTTTCTAATTATAGTCAAACTATAAATGTATGTTACCGATTTAAGTTCGCATGCCATGTATTACTGGAATAAAAAAAGGAAAGCACGAGTTTTTAGAAAATAAGAAACCTGCCACAACGACAGGATCCTTTAATTTAGTTACTGTCTATCATATTTGTTTTTCGAAAAGCGGATTGAAAAATCGTGCTGAAAATGGGTATATATATAATATATTTTGGAATAAAAAGTGGTTTTTGAACACATGAAAACTGAAAATTAAAAAAAAAACGAGACAATGTTAGGATATAGTTGGCATGATATTGACAAAATACCATGCAAGATGTCGTGTTTCTAGGCTTAGTAGTTTTTTCCGTAACTCTTGATGAAAATAATAACACCATAATTTTAAATGGAAGTGGTCATTAACTGTTTTTGTCGTGTATACTTCAGACCATTATATTTTCATTCAAATATCCAAGTTCCGCATTGCTAAAACAATGTGATAATGATTGGAAGTTGTTGGAATGATATTGACAAAACACCATTCAAGGTTTCATGTTTCTAGGCTTAGTAGTTTTTCCTGTAATCCTTGATGAAAATATAACAACATTATTTTAAATGGAAGTGGCCCTTTACTTTTTTGTCGAGTATACACATGTACTTCAGCCCATTAAACTTTCATTCATTTTTTAAAAGGAAATGTTCAAGGTTCCGCATTTTTAAAAAACAAATTTAAGTGTTAATAACTTAATGGGGGAGTGGATGGGGGATAATAGAAAATAATGGGCAAAAAATTTAATGAATAGAGAAAAATGAAAAAAAAAATTAAAAATAGAGAATAATGAGGTGCTAAAATATAAAGAATAGAGAATAATGGGCAAAAAGTATAAAGAATAAAGGAAAATGGCATAAAAAATTAAAGAATTCAGAAATGTATTACCCCCATCCAGACCCTTATGGTCATTATACATGTAATTACGTCAAACACAAATTATCTACCCAGGATTTCCTCGTCATGTAGTTTTCATAATAATTAATCAAGGGAGAGGTTGGTGAAACAAATATGCATCGGAAATAAACACATTTATTCTAAAACCAGTTGTTGACATGATACGGGCTATGTTCTTCTCATATATTTTATGATGGTATGATACTAAACCCCTAACGGGAGGGATTGTGCTTGATTTTCATATGATGAAGACATAATCTTTCAATCAGTTTAATTGAGGTCTGGAGCTGGCATGTCAGTAACTGCTAGTAGTCCTTTTTAATTTATGTATCATTGGCATTTTGCTTAGTTTTCTTTTGTTACCTATTCTGACATCGGACTCAGACTTCTTTTAAACTGAGTTTTACTGTGCGTATTGCTGTGTGTTTCTTTATTCTACATTGGCTAGAGGTATAGAAGGAGGGTTGAGATCTCACAAAACATGTTCAACCCCGCCGCATTTTTGCGCCTGTCCGAAGTCAGGAGCCTCAGGCCTTTGTTAGTCTTGTATGTTTTTTAAATTTTAGTTCATTTATATGTTTTGGAGTGTAGTATGACGTCCATTTCACTGAACTAGTACACTTTTTTATTTAGGGGCCAGCTGAGGCCCACCTCCGGGTGCGGGATTTTCTCCCTGCGTTGAAGACCCAATTGTGGCCTTCGGCTGTTATCTGCTCTTTAGTCGGGTTATTGTCTCTTTGACATATTCCCCATTTCCATTCTCAATTTTATGATAGACGATTTTCGAGTTACTTTTTATGAATAAACTACGGCGGTTGACCCTAGGTGACATTATAGCATGAGCATTGGAAATGTACGGTAAAATGTACGAATTTGAGAGTCGTTTCGAAATGAGCTGTTTTTTAAATTGCTTCTTTCGTTAATTGTCCTCGACCTTTAAGTTTTAGCACACTTTTTGTGTATGTGGGAAAAATTTTGTGTGTTGTCATTATGTGTGAGTGTAGCAGGAGAAGAATCAGTCTACACGAGAAAACTAATGGCCTTATTCATAACAATATAATTTACGAAAAAACAAATATGACAGACACGAACTATTGACATCCACTGGATTATAGGCTACTGACTTGGGATGGCCAAGGATATTTACATTTATTTGAACCCTTTAAGCAGTCAAACCTCGTTTGAGGAGAGTCCTAAGATGTGACCGTTGCGTGAATATGTTAGAACAAGTTGTGCAGTAAGCACGACAGAAAACGACATGGCATGTTTATCCTAAAGGGCATACGATACAGTTACAGGGGAGGTAATGACGTTTCTACGTAAAATGTTATCTTTCACGACGTCAAACTGTGATATATTGAGAAAAGATGCATTTTAGACTGATTTTTATCATTCAGACTGATTTAACTTGAAACGAGTTCATGGACCCCTCTTTTTAAAAATGACATTTGGCTTGATTATGTATGAAGATTATTTGTGCCAATTTTTATGAACAAATAACCGATGAAATTTTTTTAAATAAATATACAGCAAAAAATGCCGTTCTTTGACTAAAATCAGGAAATGTGATAAAAATGAATAATTTTCAAAGAATTGTTTCGCAAATCCAAAGCACACTTATATAGAGAAGATATTCCAGATGCTTTTGCAAAAATCCGCTTGCGTTTATCTCTTAAAAACAAAAAAGTTATGTATGTCTTTCTAAAGGATAGAAATGTCCAAGAAACCGAAATTTCCAGTAAATGTCTAAAATTTCGACCCCATTTATCTCTAAAAGTAGCACATGAAGGTATATTTTTTTATAACCTATCTGAATTGATAGCTTGCATGCAAACTTTCGTCTGAAATCCACATTGGGATCAAAACTGTATCGTATGCCCTTAAATGAAAAAAAACCAACTTATTTTTGGGCAAATGAAAAGAAACAAATGAGCATTCTGGTATACTTACTTATCATGCAACAATATTCATATACATTTTTGCTCAATGTTTAAAGGGACAGTAGCTTTAAATAAGGTTATAAAGGCATTAGTTGCTCTGATAGTAAAGACCGCTTTATTAGCTGGTTGTCGACATCACCAGATTTATTTTCAAACCTCGAAAAAATTTTGATTTCTACCAAGTTTGGTTGCATTGAATCGACTGTTTTTCAAATATAAAATATAAAAATTCGTCGAACGAACGATGTATGCAAATAAATTAACACCACTTTACTTAAAAAGATATACATATATTCCAAATTTGTATAGATCTAGAATTTTGAATTGACTACTAAATTTAACTATTTTTATCTACTGTATTGGAAAAAGAAAAACTATCGTTATCATTGCGTAGCTATCACGAGAAATATAAAATCCTTTACCTATATATACTTGTTTATAATATGTCAGGATAAAAAGTCATTTAAGTTTAAAACATTTCAATACAGAAACGTAAGTAACACATCGTGGTTGTGAATAGTTTTGTATTAACTTAAAACTAACCTGAAATATATTTTGTTTCGTTCTACAATTAAGAATAGTGCCTCATAAAACCCAATGAGAAATCTTTAACGTATAAAGGCTTTTCATATAAAATTATTAATATGTAAGAAACACTATACTTATCGATTTTCCTTTTTATTGGATTAAGAAAAAGGTTAAAAAGTGGGACAGTAAAAACACAAGGTTAATCTTCCAAGGAAGCGTATTGCGCTAATTGTTTTTTTTTCGCCCACCATTTCAGCTTCGTCAATAATGCATTTCTTTTATCTTTTTCTCTCGAATGTTTCTTTATTTCACAATAATTTGAAATTCCTTTGAAAAAAAGTGCACTTATTATTTGGATTACCCGGTAATGACGTTTCATTATAAATATTCATATATTGAACACGTTTCAAAATTGGTCACGTTTAAATGGATCAACGATTTGGATTATAAATACATGTGTGACACATCTATCCAACATAATAATCCAGGGACTGATAAAAAATAAAGAAATATACGATTTGTCTACGGTCAGTATGATTATTATATTATATTTTAGCGATATGGGTGAGGAGTTATTAGGAAAAGTGCTGACACCGCAGAATACTTGACTTGTGTCACTATGTTTAAATTTTGTTATCTTTTATGTATTAAGAAATAACTTATATTTATTTTTAATTTTATTATTATTATTATTATTATTATTATTATTATTATTATTATTATTATAAATGACAGAAACTTATTTGTTTCTCTCCCCGTTTATTATTTTAATAACCAATATTTCAGTAGAAAACGATACTTATCGTGCGATATTTTTATGAAATTAAATGCATTACTCATTTGTAAACTTTTTTATATTTAATATAATAGGATATACATCTGAAAGTTATTACTATATTCAAGAAATTGTGCCAGTAAGTGATTTTTTCCTGAAGAAAAGGAAATGTGTAGTATATGTCATTGCGGTAGCAACCCATAGACAAAAATAACCAAAACATTTAACATCATATAAAAGGTTAATGTAAAGAGGATCGCTATCAATGATTTTTTTTGAACCAAGAGTGTCTTTATTTTTAAAATCCTTGTACGTCGGAAATTAACGTGACGTTGGTTGACCGTGCAGACATTTTTGTTCCAAAGTAATTCAATGACTATATATTGTAAGTCACAATCGTGCCCTACTACTTTCGTTCGTGTCGTGTGACCGGATTTTTCTAGTCATGAACAAGCTACAGCGGATACAGTAAGGGGATATTGTTCGATTTAGAATGTTATAGATTTCGTTTTTACTATATTCTTACTTTCTAAACAAATTAGATAAATTAAGAAGTAGAATAGTCGACATGTTAAACAAAGCTAAGATATTTGTTATATTATATTAGAGTTCAGTATATCACATATTAAGTGACCACTGTAGGGGAAATTGCTGATGTAGAAGAAAAATGCCTTGGAGCATTGTTTTATTAGGGGGACCACATGATAATAGTTATAATTACAACAACAATTATATTAATAAATAACAAAAAAAGTGATATCAAATTATATTATTATTTCTGATTTTTTTCTTCAAATTCCTTGGAAGTCTTGGGTAAACTGTTAAAGAGGCCGGTTGTACCGTTGGCCTTTATGTTTTTATGCCTAGAAAATTCTTAAATTATGAAATAAGGTCAAAGTTATGCTTTTATATATAGGAAATTTGTTTATTATAAAAGTCTTGTTTTCTCTGCATGTTTGTTGTCAGGGTTTTATTGTCTGAGGAAAAAAAATTCAACGCAAAAATATTGAAGAAATATTTTGAATATGATATTTTTTAGGAGACTTTAATCTTGAGTCATGCAGTATGTCCTAAATCATTATTCATTTTAAATTGAAAATATTATAACGGAGTGTAGTTTTCACGATAAAATTTTAACATAAAAAATATTATGTTTAAACTACCTTTAAACAGTACGCGTAGATTAGTATTGATGTAATTTATGTTTGTGCTTATTCACTTCCGCATTGTAATCGTTGACGTTCTACATTTTACATATGTACGTACATGTAAATTTTTTGAGAATGCTTATTCGACACATTTCGATTGACTCCTGTTTAAAAGTCAATGCGCGCTATAGTATTACGGTAAGTACAATTGGATTTTTGAAATCGTCTAGTTTTTACTGGTTGTAGAAGTTAAAATAGTTATGTCAGCAGGTTTTTAATATAATTTAATTCATATTTCTATAATGAAGGATTGGTATTTTTTTTTCTGAATACATCGATAAAAAGTTGGACCAGAAAGGCACACGCTCAGTAAGTTCGAACGATAAGCTAGCGAGCCTTGTTATAGCAGTTTTTTTCAGTGCTGATACTTTCGCTTTCTTCAAATGCATTACATACATTAGGATTAAGTTCATGTTTACAATCAAACAAACAAAAATCATTGTGATTGTAGAATATATCTTGCGGTATATCTGACAACCCATAATGCAATTAAGTTAAGGTAAAATCAAACTAAAGTTAATCTGAAATCAATTCTTTCTCTCCGATGCCAGACAAAAAGGTCCAATAACATACATACATGTAATTTTTTAAAATCCAAATTTCCAAAATATTATGTTAAAGGTACTGTTTAAAATGGTCAAAAGTAAAACCTTTTTTGACACCAAGTAGACAAGTACCAACAAGGGATACATTCCACAAAATAATATGGCGGGTGATGCGAAATGTGCCGGAAATATTTCTGACCCGCTTCTAACACCCTCTTGTCAGAAGTTATCTGGGTTGCGTTCAATATCATAGCGGCTACGTAGTGCTACGTAGATTTTTGTCTACTGAACGAATAGCTAGCCTAGCTGCTATCAATATCTATGTAGCAGCTAGGCTAGCTACACGTTCAATAGTCATAAATCTACGTAGCCCTATGTAGCCGCTAAGATATTGAACGCAACCCTGTTATGTTCAAGATATTTAGAAATAAAAGTATTGTTATTTTACACCAAATAGTCCCAACAAGCCTTAGTTAGTGATATATAAATATGACTGGTAATGTACACTGAACAGAAGCTGTTGTTGCTCTGCATGCAAACCCCGTCAGATACAAATTTGCCAACCAACAATACGTTACATTCTTTAGAGAACGGGAAGTCTCTGTGAAATTTGTAGTCAATAATCACTTGTAATGGTCCACAACATTATACACTATTTTCATTGATGACATCATTGATGTTTGATACATTATTGTATACATTTGACCTCATGTGTGAACTATCAGAAGTCTACAATCACAATTAGCATGGCTATTATTACCTATTAACTTTTAGAATACCTATGATATGTATTGTTTGGTTGATTGATAAATGGTGCCTAACGCCATTTTCAGCACACTATGCTATAAAAAGGCGGGTCAGTCTTTATTGGTGGAGGATACCGGAGTAAACTATAATATATAATTGTCTTTTACAGCAATGGCTCTATCAAAGAGAATTACAAGAGATTTACTTCAGTGCAATAACTACAGGGTTCTGATACGGAATTGTATATGTGAGCATGCAGCCGCCATGATGAATGAACACCACTGTGAAACAATCCCCCAAGCAGACGACATTAAGCCTTTCAGCGAGATTCCTGGTCCAAAAGGAATATACAACATACCATTTCTAGGAATTGCCTTACAATTTAAACCTTTTAGTGAGTACTTAATGTTTTAATGGCGTTACGCGATATAAATATTTAAGAAAATAAAATTATGTGATAGTAGCATACAGTTATAGAATTTAACTTTGACCCTGAAGGTGGGTTTCACAAGAAGTAATTAATCACGTAAAATGTTTCATTCAGTCAGTTTGTTATTTGATACTGTTAAGCTGAAACATATGATTCATGGTCTTATTCCATTACTAAAGTCATAATATTTTGCCCAAAAGAGAAACTCAACAACTAATCACGTTTTTAACAGGAATGGGAAGCAATATTTTGCTTTGGTTTTAAACGCTTTCAGCAGGTTTTCATTTTACCCATATAAGATCATATAACAATTATGTTTGATAAGAATATATTTTTAGCAATTTTTATGAATGTGTTAACTGATTTTTTCCAATCTTTTATTCGTCCTTGAAGAGATACATTATCGGAAACAATACATTAATATGATCGAATTTGCGAGGTTTGCATAAAATCCGGAGGCAATTAAGTCATTTATATTTAGAGCGACAACAAGTCAGATAATAGACCAATTATGTTGGTTCTGCAAATGATTAGATTGGGGAGGAGGATGGCAATTTGACACTGTCATTGGAAAGAGAAGGGATGTTGGTTAGATAACGAATTTTTGCTTCATCGATAATATTTGTTACAGTGCCGCTAAACATGAAATTAAAATATATTCTTAACTTTAACAATCTTAATGAGAAGTATCTTCCATTCATACTTCCACTTTTAGAATATGCATGCGAGCAATGGGATAGGTTCTGTTCCAGATATTCTAAGAAAATTGAGCACTTGAAGCAGCAAGAATTATTACTTTATTACTTGAATCCCACTATTTGAAACAAAATAACAACACAGATTTAGTCCCTAAAAGCCGATTTATATAGAGCTTTGGTAATCGACCCGAGCGTGGGTGTCCATTAGAAGATTTGATACATATTTTATTAGAATGTCCCCTCTACTATAAACCTAGAAATAAGTTATTTGAAAATATCCAACACTTTGTTGTTATTTCAATAGAACACAAATTATTTGGAACAGACGAAATTAGTGAACAAGACAAAATTCTTTTCAGAAATATACATAGTTTTTATACATTTATGCCATACGCGTTGAAGCGCAAATAACGTGGCATTCTCATCGCTTATAACAATCCCATGCTTTCATAGTAATGTTTTTATCCTGTATAATTGTACGGTTAACAATTTATTTGACATATCTCTTCAGCTAATTACACTCCAAGTGACATGCCTGAGCTTTTGTGTAACTTACGGGACAAATACGGTGATATAGTCAAACTGAAAACCGGAATGTCGTCTATGGTTTATGTATTCCATCCAGATCATGCTAAAGTTGTTTTCCAAGCTCAATATAAAGAACATGCTAAAACGCAGATGAAATTACCGGAAACATTTTTCAAAAGAAACAACATCCCAAAAGGAGTAGTTCTACTGTAAGTTACAGTTTTTTTCATTATTCATAGGATTTGTTTTGACACTGCTTGGTTCTTTTGATAAAATACGTGATTAAGTGGTCGGAAATTACAATTCACAGACCCAACTTTGTTTCTGGGATTAAAACCAGAGATATTTACTTATCACTTACATACACAAATCGACCCTATTATTAAGAAAACTGACAATGCCATGGCAAAAAAAAAACAAACAAAAATACAACAAAAATACAAAAAAATCGAAAAATCAAACAAGTTGGAACAAAACACAACATTATATTGACCATATATTGCATCTGAAAAAAAGAAACCAAAACCTTTAAAAAAAAAGAATGCGAGGGCTTAAGCATCAAGTTTCGATCAAATGGGTCGAGTTATATCTAGCTTTGCTTTTCAAATGCAGACATTTTGTACAACAGTACTCATTAATTCACATTAGAACCATTGGTTGATTTTCCAGAGACGCCAACTGTGTCAATGACAACCGGTACTAATATTGTAGCTATAGGTTTTAATGATATTTTCTTCTTTAAAACAAAGCATTTCAATGTTAATATACAGCCAACAAAAAAAAAATTAAAAAAAATAAACGGATATATAAAATAAGGTTTTATATCTTCTACTTTATCCGAATAAATTGCAAAGTAAACTAATGCAAAATATTATACATAAAAACAAACACGGAAGAAGGAAATGACTTGTGTTTTTTTTTCATTTAAGTAATTCGGTTGTAGCGGCACATCTTTGATGATCTTTGTGAACATTTTTCACAACTCTTCTAGAATCGAGTTGATGTAGTAAGAGATTATCATATTGTAATGTCACTTATCTGTCATTTATTGAAGACCATAAGTTGACCGCTTTATTTGTAGTTTGGATTTTTGTTTCCATATTCTATATGTAACATAGTTTATTGCCAGAAGTTTTTATTAATAATTAAAAAAAGTATTTACATTTGCAGTTAAATTTTAAATGTATTTTACTATTTTGTTAGGCAGGGAGAGGAGTGGATGAAGATGCGCAGGTCAACACAAGAAAAGATTTTACGACCGGCAATTGTAGCGAATTATGTCCCTTTAATAGAAACTGTAGCAGATGATTTTGTAGATCAGCTACGAAAAACACAAGTAATAAATGATCTCCATAAAGAACTTACAAACTACACAAGCGAAAGTAAGTTTACGTACGGTGACCTACAGTTGTTAATTTCTGTGTCATTTGGTCACCTTGTGGAGAGTTGTCTCATTGGCAATTATACCACATCTTCTTATTTTTATATTAGCTATGAATAGAAGATCAGTTTTGCTTAAAATGGAAATGCAAAAGAAAAAAACCCAGCTATAGTTGCTAAGTTCTACGTCATTTGAATCTCTGCTAGAGAGTTGTCTCATTGGCAATCACACAACAACCTGTCACACAACATCTTCTTATTTTTATATTGTAGTTGGAAAATCTCAATAATTTTATTCAAAAGGACGAGAGAGAAAATAAATGTAGTTCATCGGCAGTTTTCAACAATAAGCAAAGAGAGCTCAAACCGCAAGGTAAACTAAAAAATGTTGCCTTTTATCTTTTACTAAAAAAATAAAAACAAATCAACTAATAATAAAAGATAAAAGCATATTACCAAAATGTAGGTAAGAAAACAGTGCAGACAGGCTCCTAATTCCGGGAGTACTCACTGAAGATGTTTGTTTACCGCTTGTTTCCAAATACACATTGTGAAGAAACATTCAGCGATACGTAGCAACTGACATGTTATACGAACACCATTCATCATGCATTTAAAACATTGAGTGTAAAATTATGTCTTATTAGGTATTGGTATGTTGTGTTTCAACACACGCCTAGGCTACCTCGATGGTACAAGTGACTTCGATTTCTACACAAATCTCCAGGAAATGCTTACTAGTTTCCATCAAGCTTTTTTCCTGCCTATAAAGTCATACAAGTACTTCAACACAGGAATCTATAAACGTTTTGAATCGTCCACCCTTAAGATTTACAGGTAAGAGCAATATATGCAGATAAGTTTATATTTTTATCATTATTCTCTATTCTTTATATTTCAGCACCCCGCTATTCTCTAGTCTTTATTTTTTTACCTATTTTTCTCTTTTCTGTATTTTTGTTTATCCTTTATTCTGCACTGACTTGTATTCTCGATTACCCAGCCAGACTCTGAGTTATGAATTCATACACGGCAGGATAAATCGTTTCATTAGGAGGGTCAATCATAAAGTTCTTGAGTCGTTAGAAATATTATAAGTATACGTAAACATTCAAAGATATATTTCAGTACTAAATGAATAGAATGGTATCGCACTATTTTGGAAATCATACAGTCCACAATTTATTTGCACTTTTGTATTGAATTTAAAACATCGAAATGACTTTTAGAGCATTTTGAGATTTTGACTAATAAGTATGTAATTTATAGCACTAAATTTATAATATTTTTGACTTGTGTAACATATAAAAAAGTCTAAGGAACGGTGCGCTTATGCTTGGAAAGGAGAGGCGAAAGATACCAAAGGGACATTCAAACACATAAGTGGAAAATAAACTGACAACGCCATGGCAAAAAAAAAAAAAGAAACAAAGACCAAAAGACAAATAACAACATAGGCTAGGAAAGAAGTTCCCACAGATGAAAAATAAGGCAATTACAAAACAATAGCGGAAAAAAAAAGAAATTGTGTCTAAATCGTTTATCACTTACATATATATATATATATAGTAACATTTATTTTTATGGTTACTAATTACATGCTACATCAAGTTATAAAACAGATCCATTAGAAACCATAAGTATTCCGAATGAACTAAGTAATAAGATTATTCCAGACACACATTGATTTACGCTTGTTGTCCGCACGTGTTGTACATTAAGTTCTTCAACATTTAACACGTGACCGATCATGTGTTATTACCTATTTTTACCTATAAAGAATACGGACAATCACCTGTTGATTTGAAGGACTAAATTCCATATCAGGCAGCAGCTGTAAAAAAAAAAACCCGGATAATTAGTGAATAATATAACGAAAAATGATAAATGATAAATTTTTCTTTTTGTCTCGATGCGTGCTCAACAAAACGTACAGTTCTAGCGATAAAACATTTATTAAAAATATTCATAATTTATAGCAATAAAAGGTTAGATTAATTTATAATCCTGGACAATATCAGAGGGGGTGGACAGCTTTTGAGAGAGGTGGATGGTGGGGGGGGGGGGAGGTTGGAGAGAAAAAAGATTCTAAAAGTGGGAGGTGGGAGAAAGAGGGAGGGCGGGAGGTTTGCAAAAAACTTTGCTTTACCAGTCTTTCGTAACTACTTTTGTTGATAGCCTTAGGACATTTGTGTTGGTCTATTGTTAAGCTGTGTTAAAAATGTAACTTATCTTAACAGATTAGCAGAGCGAGAAATAAAATCACAGAAACAAAAGCTAATGAAACTAGAACGAGAAGGAAAATTAGAAGAATATCTAGAGAAAGAACCAAATTTTCTTCATTCGTTGTTGTCTGACCCTAGAGTTACAGATGAACAAGTCAGCGTGATCATATTAGATTTAATAGGAGCAGGAATTGATTCCGTAAGTGTCAAAGGTCAATGCTGCATTGGTTGCAATTTGTTTTTTTTTAAGTAGAAGTTGTTATTTCGGGTAAAAAAGAGAATGCATCTTAAATGCTTAAATGTCAAAATTTCTATGCATACTACACTAAGAATAGGAAAAAACCCTATTGTTGGGTTCCCGACTGCTTTCGAACTCATTTGTTGTAATCTTAATTTTTTATTTCATTTGATTCCCCAGTATCACCATTTACTTATACAAAAGGACATGATGGAACCCGTAAAATTGCAGTTTGTGAACTACAATTTTTAATGAACATATTTCTGTTCAATCCTATTGGTGACCGTCAATACTAGTCTTGACGAATGCTACCTGACAACACATGCAGTCATAATCGACCAATTTATATGACAGTGTGTAATGATGATGATAAAAATGATATACGTTAATGACTATAGTCTGTTTGTGTAGCGTACGGCCGATTTGATGTTTTATTAGCAGAGGTCCATATATTTACTTTTCGAAGTCCATGAAAACTCATATTGACCTACACAAAAACATCAAGTTAAACTATTTTATTATTTAATTACATACCAGGGTACTTAAAAAACGTTACAGAAGTTATAACGTGTTATTTTGGTAAACAAAAGTTAAATCAGTGTTTTTATACCGGTATACTGTTTTACCTCTGTCTGTCCGTCAGTCAGTCCCATGAATATTTTCGTCGCATCTTTCTCAGGAACTACAATACATGGATTTCTGAAATATGGTTTCAGGGTTTATATAAGTCAGCTATGCCGTGAGATGCGTTTTCAGATTTATCACTCAACAACTTCCTGTTTACCGAACACTTGTATCATTTTACACATGATAGCCCAGTTGGAAATTTTCGTCACATTTTTCTCATGAACTACAACACAAGGATTTCTGAAATTTCAGATTCATCACTCAACTACTTCCTGTTAACCGAAATATTTGGGCGGGGGTATCATCAGTGAGCAGTAGCTTGCAGTTTCACATGTTGATAAATAATTCACCCATTACAAATTGTTTAAGTTTCTTCTAGGGACGTGAATGGAGAATGCCACGTTCTGAATGTAAAAAGAGTCATAGCCCGCATTCATTGGTTGACGAATGTTGCTCTATATCAATTTTGTTTGTCGTTTTTTATTTTGTATTTAAATTGGTTTTTCCCGTTTGAATTATTTTGAAATTTTATCATGTGGCATTTTATAGCTTTCTATGCGGTATATATGTGTTTTGTTCATTGTTGAATACAGTATCCTGACCTATAATTGCTTACATCTATGTCATTTGGTATCTGATGGATAGTTGTCTCATTGACAATCATACTACACCATCTTATTTTTATACTACTAGAACACACCCTCGAAATCGCGGGTATTTAGAGCTTGGTTGAAAGTATGCAAACTGTTGTAGGATGATTTTTTGTAAAAGATTTTATGTCTGGAGAATTTCAGAAAAGGTTTCAAACTGAGTCATAGGCACTTGGAGACAGGACAATTATTTTAAGCCCTCTCCCTTTTTTCCAAAGTCCGTTATTTTTTTGCTCTCTGTTAAATTCCATGATTTTCGCGTTTTTGTATACTATGAACATACATATAATAAAAATAAAGTGAATTTGCTATTAACTATCAATTCCAAGTTTCTTCTCCACGGCGATCACTGCTATATTATATAGAAAGTCTCTATATACTATAGGATTATAATCATAGTATACATGCAGAATAACGCGAAAATAATTGTCCTGTACCCGGGTAATTATGAATTATGTTTAAAGAGGGGAGTAAAGGGGGGCGGGGTATCTGCACGGAAGAACGCGAAATAAAATTGCCAATTCACGATGAGAGAACAATTAAAAGTTTCTTGCACGTTGATCTTTTTATCGATTTCAAGAAACACGGTGAATAACGAACCTTTTTCACGGCTGCACGTGAAATAAAAAGTGGCAAAACACGTTACACGAAAATAACCCTTTACCCCCTCTTCTAAAGTTTAAAATCGGAAGTTTTGGGTATGACTTAAAAGTCGGTCTGATGACGGAAACAATATCCGGACGCCTTTTTCTTCGTTTTTCTCCCAAAATAACCCAAACTGAATAATCATAAGAATGGATGACAAATGCGACTATGCATGGTACCTATAGGACACAGAGGCATGATGATTAATTTATTGGGGAAGGAAGAGAAGCGACACACAAAATGAGGTCTTCTCGTTTAATAGTATAGATTTATCTGTGTTATGTTAAAGCGACATTGTATTTTAGGGTATTCTTCTTTCGATGTAGATGAGACGTTATCTGACGAAGGGTAATCATTATTGTTCTTAAGATCAGTAAATAAGGATGTTGATAACGGAACCACAATCTTTGATTACCAAGTTAAGTATCGCAGTTATTTAACTTAAAAAAAAATATGCTTACATAAAAGGACTTTTTTCAAAATTAATAATTTCTCTTTTTACAGACTGCGAACACTATTGCATTTTTACTGTGTGATTTAGCCCAGAATCCAGATAAACAACACAAACTTTATGAAGAAATAAAAAGTGTCCTTGGGAATAGTAAAAAGGTCAAAAAGAGCCATCTTGCCAACCTAAGTTACTTAAAGGCGTGTGTTAAAGAAACTCAAAGGTACATAGTAGTAAGATAATAAATAGTCATTTGGTGTGGTGATCGAGGATGTACAGCTCTTATATATTCTCTAATTTATCTGCTGCAACTTTCGTTTAGTGCACCTAGACTGGTTTTGCGATTTTTACCATCAATTTTGCATAGGATACCGGTGGTGTTTTTTTCTAAACATAAAACTACTAGAAAAATTAGTAGTAATTCATTTTCATAGAAAAATTGACCTAAAATGCAGTTGAACTGCAATTTCTGCACTCAAATGGGAAATAGATCTTTAGTTATACAATATATTTTCTACACTCAGTAAATATGGATTTAATTATCCTGAATTTTTAAACATGTACCATCCAATCAAGACCCACTATTTTATGCTGACTGCCACCTTGGGGTTAAAAAATTGCCGTTGAATTGTACATACGTAGTTGCGCATATAGTAGTGTTCATAATTGTATTATAATTACGGTACAGATATTTCGTTTATTTATGTATGTATGTATATTGACCTCTTGTACACTGTTGTGTCTGAGGATGATAAAACTTTGAATCTTACAAAACTCATTGCTAAAGCTTCGGTTTCCATCATTATGATACCAACAAAAGCTGTAATGATGAACATTTTTCATTGTTTAAATGGTTATACAATAATTATGATTACTGTTATCAAAAAAAGGGCAACAGTATTCCTAGACAGACTTGAATAAAATATATAAATATGTAACGCAATTTTAACCATAAAAACGTGTTAAATGCGTATATCATATATCCAGTCTCTGTATCGTATCAAATTCAAGATATTTCAATATCTTTGTTTTCGTATTTGCAAAAATCAAATATTTTCATATAGAAATGATATGTATTTTAAGTATTGTTCACAAATTAAAAACCAACATATATTTTTTAACCGTCTTGTTTGCAGAAAAAGGTTTCCAGTTTTCATTGGAGCTCAGAGAATATTAGAACATGATCTCGTACTTGGTGGATATCGTATTCCAAAACAGGTACTTAATTAATTTCTCACAAGTAAAACATGTTTGTCACAAGTATAAAGTATATCACCTACCATGTCAGCTCATGTGGACTAATCCTCTTTTAGGGGAATGAAATTTCCATATTTTTGTACCAGAATTTTATCTTCTGTTTCAACTTGGATTACTAGTAAAAAGAGTTTGGGGGTACATTTTTTTAGTTATAAACTACCTTTTAGATATCTACAGTGACCTTTTGGTGGGGTTCTTGTTTTTCAGTCTTTAGTTTTCTATGTGGTGTTTTGTATACTGTTGTTTGTCTTATGATCATTTTCCGGTTTTTGCCATGGCTGTGTAAGTTTTTTCTCAACTAATGAGTTTGAATGTCCCTTTGATATCTTTCGCCTCTCCTTTGTTTGTCTCAGACTCAGACTTGAAATAAAACTCGTTAATCAAACTTAAACCTGACGTTAGGTTTGAGAATGCTTTGTATCTTTTATTTTATTTTTAAAGGATGAACATTCCGGTTAATTATTAAGTATAGCTGTTATATGCTGTAGTGTTCTAGAATAAAAGAAACATATATATCACAAAGAACGTCAAAGATGACTTCACAAATCAACGATTTATTAAAAACATTGGACAGGAAAAGAAAAAAAAAAACAAAAGCAAGTGAGCAAAGGGAGACGTAGAAAATCACGAAAAACAACAACTTCTTTGTATAGAATAATTTAAGTATTATCTTGATTTAATTTCCAGACGGCTGTGGCCATAAACAACGATGCCATGTCAGTAGATGAACGATTTTATCCAAGACCTAAAGAGTTTATTCCTGAGAGATGGCTAAGAAATTCAGACGAGGATGTAACTATGGGACGACATCATCCATTTGGAATGAAGCCGTTCGGTTTTGGTCAACGTAGTTGTCTAGGACAAAGATTTGCGGAAAATGAAATATACATCTGTATACTCAAGGTATAACTTTAAATCTAATTCAATAAAACAAAAGCTGCATTAAATTATGCTGTACAAATAGAAATTGACAAAACATGAACCTCAACTTGTGGAATGTATTTCTGCGATTTAGAATAATATACATTTTTGTTAGTTGATAAATTATCTTTAACAGTAGTTTTTTTAAGTTTTGTTTCAAGACAGCTAACATTCATTTGCCTCAACAATACTGAAAAGTAAAATAAAGAACCCACCGGAATGATAAAAAATATAATGGTGAAATAAGTAGACTTTTTGTTAATTCTAAAACTTATAGAAATCTTATTTACCAATCAAGTTTTCGCATATTTGACTTAACGCTTGTTTGTGAAACTCGATATAAGAAAGCCACAACCAGAGAGTTATCGCCCATTAGCATAAAAAATCACATCGATAATACATTTTTATCTCCGGGAAAGATGGAGGTCAACACACTTGAGTGGGTTAACATGATTTCAGAACTTACAGAAGGGATGATTTTTCAAGATCTATTTAATTCTTAAATTATTATTTAAAAGTTAAAGGCTTAGATGGGTTCTTAACTTTCGTGTTGGAATAAAACGTAAACTTTTTGACATATTAAACAGGAGAAAGTGAAATCATTATATTAACCAAAAAGAAAAAAAATCCATTACTTATTTAATACACAAAATACATTCTTTATTTTTCAAATACATTTTTAATTTTTCTTAATTTTCAGCTCATCCAGAACTTTGAGGTATCACTACCAGAGAATGTAACGGACATACCTACAGTAAAACGAACATTTATAACACCGGATGCTGAAATCAAACTATTCTTAAAGGAAAGACCACAGCCGGATGTTTGAAAGTAATAATTCCAATAGTAGTTTCTAAGTGTAACCTAGGATATACATCATTTGTACTTTTTGAATATCAAACATTGGGTAGAAAGCAATTTTCGTATTTTACTTTTTTTCTCTTCTAATTTATATGTTATAAATGAAGAGAAGAACTGACACAATAACTCAAAAGGCATGCCTTTTTAAAATTTTTGCCAGGACATTTATAAAAAAACCATTGTCATAATAAAGAAAAAAGATCATACATGTACGCTTTACTCTTTTCGAACGTTTTTTTCTAAACGTATATTTTAGATAATTGTATGATTAATTCACCTGTCTAATATAATGCACACACAGTAAAACTTGTATATGAAGGTCACCCTTGGGACCAGAGAAAAATGATCTTGTAAGAGAGGTGACATTTAAATTGACTAGAAGAGGGTGACATGAACAGGACAGAATTTACCTTGATAAAGGTGACCCCCATAGCAGGTTTGACTGTAGTACCCAAAAGCGCGAAGAACTAAGGAACAACTAGAAATTAAGAGACACATCGATAATTACAAAATGTATTTATATTAGCAGGGAGAATAGTAATGTATTTTCTTGCAAAATAGGAACGTCTTTTTATAAATTTAAGTTTGCATTTCTATAGTCAATTGAACATTAAAAACTTTTATAGAAGTCGCAGGCGACACTATATTTATTTACATGTTAACATAAAAAGCAAATGTATTCTTATGTTGTATAGTTTTAAATGTTTTACAATGTTCTTGTTTTATTTTTTTTATACTTTGTTAAATGTATAATAAATATTAAAAAATACAATCGTAACATTCGTTATATAAAGTTGTGTGTGTATGTGTTTGTATGCTGGTTTATGTGTATATTTGTGCATTTATTTGTTTGAGTGTATGTGTATAGTGTTTTTATGTCTGTAACGATTCTTGTGTGTGTGTGTGAGAGAGAAAGAGAGAGAGAGAGAGAGTAACTATGCTTGTGTGTATATGGAGAGAGAGAGAGAGAGAGACAGAGAGATTTTTTTTTGATTTCGTAGAGATAGCAGATTATTGTAACGTGATGTTTTAATTTCAGTATTAAGAGTACAATTGGGGAGTGAATATATGTTTCTGAAATTAAAGAAAATAGGCAAAGATTTGATCATTTCCCAGTTGATCACTATTAATGAACGGGCATTTTATTTGACTTATTATTATTTTTAAGTTATTAATCTATACTAGTATGTATAAGATTTTTAAACCTAACAAGATAAATGCACGAGGTGCTATAATGATTGACTGTTTCATGTTGTATTTCAATAAATAATGTGGAAAAATCTAGTCTTGTTTACATTTGCAATTGTTGTTTAAAGAGGGAAAAACATCAGATTAAATGACAGCTGTTAAATCATTATGTTATATGCTCAAAAACATATGCTCCTGTCCCAAGCAAGGTATCTGTGATTTATTGGTCGTTGTTGGTAGCTGTCTTTTTCGTTCACTGTACAGTTTGTCATACCGGAGACTTTTATAACTCACTATACTTTATGGGTGAAGTGATCCGTACTTTGGTTTGTCATTCCCACTATTGATAGTATTTTCATTGGCAAACACACCATATCTCCATACTTTTATATAAAAACGTGACGGAAAACAGAATTTACTAGAAAAGAACAATATATCTGTATTAAAAACTAAGACTAGTGTCTTTGGTCAGGGTGAGCAGTTCCAATTCCACATGTGGTTCCCGTCAAAATATTTGTGATTAAAATCCTTGTAATAAATCTCAGCAGAAAACAGAGATCATACACGTCATTACAAAATAAAATGTAAAATAAAACATTTTATGAGTAACGACCACCTCGTTATGGGGACAATTCAATTAAGGCAAGTTCAACGTTTCAGTGAGGTACTTGTTTTAATTATTTAAGTATAAGTATCAATCATTTTTTCATTCAATCGGAAATACGATGTTATGTGGGAATGTATGATTATCCAGTGGCAAATATGTCATTCATATTCAGATTTAGTTACAATTTGTACAGGTAATAACTCGGATGGAGGGCAGACAATTTGAAATTCCACTGGAAAAATTAGGGATATTGGATAGGTGCAGACAGTTTGCCTTGCCACAGGCAGCCTACAGACTCTTCAGAGAATTGTTGCAAAGGTTCTTTAACGTGCCGAGAGTGTGGCAATCACCCTACATAAACATAAAAAACAGCAACCCAACGACACATAAAAAACATAATATATTTAGAGGTCATCATGCAGCAATAAATTTACGAGATGTCAAAACACATTATGATGTACTCCTTTACCAGAGTCCAGGGGAATATAAGTTACTTTTCGGATTGATTGGCACTTGATATTTTAAGATACTAGTAGGGTAAAACCGGGGATGTTCGGACAGAGGGGGAAGTTCGGACAGTTTTGTTTCAGTCTCCCGTCTGATTCGGCATATTTTGTAGCCCATGACATCACATTTAGTATGTTGTAAAGATCTATTGCCGTTGACAGTCGAGCTGTAGACAAATAACCATATCACTGGATAGTGCACATTGAGTGTGGGCCCCATGGTTAAATACAATATGTTTATGAGCGACCAATGGTTACTTTCTCGGAATCTGGTACAACAAAACTAGCAACAATCTGTCAATCCCAAACTGCTAACATCGATTGAAATGGCCATTATCCTTTAGAATGACACTAAATGGAAAATGTCAAAAGAAATTAATATGCACTCATAGTTAATGACGGATACGGGTAGATCAAAATTCGATATCAACTTCTACTTACTAATGCAAAGTTGGCTTTTGATAGTTTCAATTGTTCCGTTTAGGAACTTTTGGCTTTAGTGCTCTAGAGGTGTCTGAATCCGCTCCTGAATAGTATTATACAGATCACGTGTATCTGCATCTCTAAGAGTTTGGGATTATACAAACTATAGAACGAGGCTAACTATAAAACGAGGCTGACTAACCTTTATCATCTTGAAAAAGGGAATAGTGATGGCAGTCTGTAGCAAAAAGGCAATTGTAGTAATTATAAGTTTTGCATATACTTTCTTGTGAAAAAGAAACATCTTTTTATAGACTGCTTGAATTGAATTAAATGTCGTAAAACATAAAAGGACACCTCTGAATATTCTGTCCGTATTAGATTTGTTTTAAGCCAAATTATGTGAAAATTTTGAGATACAATGTATCTGAGTGTAGTCATGGCAACACATTGAGTTGTCTCTCTTATAGTGTCCAACATTTATATTTTAACATTCATATTACAGTTTATTCTAAAAATGGCTTTTTAACGCACCAAAAAAAAAAAATATGGCACGATTAATTGAGTTATTACAAGGAAAACAATGTCCATTTATTGATTGATTGTTGTTGCCCTGTCGCTAATATTTCATGCCTAGTCGGGACGAGAATACATCAATATACTCAACACGTAAGTTCTGTAAAGTGGGTCAACCGGAATGAGGGACAGGTCTACGGACACACTTAAAAGCAAAGTCATTTTAAAGTGTAGAGTGCCTTGTACTTTTCTTATATAAGGCATCGGTTAAAATGAGAGGCTAAAAATACCAAAGGGATATTCAAACTCATAACTTGGAAACAAACTGACAATGCCATGGCAAAAAATAAAAATCCAAGAAATAAAAAACAACACTACTTAAAACACAACAAAGAAAACAAAAGACTGAGCAACGCGAATCCCACCGAAAACCGGGAGAAAGGGGGGAGGGGGATATCTGGTGCTCCGGAAGGTAAGTAGATTCTGCTCCACATGTTGCACCCGTTGTGTTGCTCATATAAGTACAAATCCGGTGATAAATCTAATACGGTAGGTCACATTCGAGGAAAAGATGACGGGGTTTGGGTTACGACTATGGGAAAATTAAAAAAAAAACAACACAAAAATACAGAACTCCCTTATCAAATGGCAAAATCAAACTGTGAAAGTGCAAACACATCAAACGAATGGAAAACATCTGTCATATCCTGACTTGTTACAGTCATTTCCTTATGTAGAAAATGTTGGGTTAAATCTGGTTTTACAGCTAGCTTAACCTTTCACTTTTATGACAGTCGCATAAAATTCCATATTGGAACATATCCGTCGTCATCTATAAAACAGATATTCGATAACGGTATAAACCAACTCGTGATGGTGTCCGAAAATTTTTCGGAGGGATGATTTAAACGTCATCACTAGGAACTCTTGGTTAAATAGGTTCCTTGTAAGCAGCAACCCTGTTTCAAGGAAATCGTGAGAGGAAGTGCAAGCTCTGGAATATCGTAGCAACTGGGAGATATACATTCCATATGCATGCGCTGCTGGAATGTTGCTACATAGAAATGGAATGTTCACAATTGAGAAGCTGAAATCATCTCTTTGGTCGTAAAGTTTTGTTCTCTACCGACAATCATTTTAAAGATTCTTATTCCGACTTGACGTGTCTGTGTACTTAAAAATCCCACAAAACAAATCTGACACCCCTCTTAACCAAATTGGAGAGGTTAAGGTGACCTTATTTCTATACACCAAGAGCTATTGGGGTTAACAAACAATGAAAATGATATGTGAAATTATAAACTGAATATAAGCCTAAAATGAATATTAACCCTGAAGTTCTTGTAGATTATTCCAAATTTCCTTATTACAATTATACCATTTTTTGACTGAGGTACTGGTTCTGGAGATATACTTATATGGCGAGATTTTTTATATGCTGTACTTGAACTGTTTTATAAATGCATCTACGGACAATGACAACCGAGTGTTTTAAAATATTGAATATATGTAGAATTTTTGTTTATAATAAATTTTATACATCAAAGAAAAAAATGGTACTTTAACACCTATAAAAAGGAGATTTTTTTTCCGAGTATACGGGTGCTAATTATGATACAATTAATCCTATTATTTTAAGACAGAAAGATATAAAACTGAAAGCTACTTCTCAGACGAAAGTGAGCGGATAAGATTAATTAAGCAAAAAGTAACACAAAGCTAACATAATTCTTTGAAGTCATTCATTTTAAATATGTATTAACATTACTGTGTGATATAAGGAAATCTTTAAAAAGATAAATCGTACTTTAAGCGTTGATGTAAGCCAAGTATAAAAATGTTATACCGTTTTCAGTGAGTGAGCATAGGCGGATCCAGGGGGGGGGGGGGGGGGGGGGGGGGGGGGGGGGGGGGCCTGGGGGGCCCGCCCTCCCCTTTCGTGGGAAAAATTTGGTTGATTATATAGGGAATCACTGAAGCATGACTGGAGCCCCCCCCCCCACCCCCCCCCCCTTTATGAAAAGTTCTGGATCCGCCACTGGCGAGGCACATGTTTCTTATATAACCTTCATCAGACATGGTCGAGTTTTAGGAAAGCTGTAGTGTCCAATAATCAGGTGCGGTCCCAGGATTTTGATAAGGGATGCCCCCTGGCAAGTTATCGTTTGAATAATGCATTTATCATATATGACGCTCCATAAGGGGGCGGGACCTCTGTTCCCCTCATAAATCCGCCTCAGATAATAACATTTCCAGTTTTTTCAATGATTGTTTTTACAGTCAAGCTAATACTGGTGATTGTGCCTTTTGACTTCTCCGTTTTGAAAACACGACGCTTTCCAGTAAAGTTTCACTGACTCTTGTTTTCTGAACTGATTTTATTTATTGCAGTTCTGTTGATTTTTTTTTGCTAGTAGGTTTGCGTATCACTGATTATAGCATGTCCATAAGGTTACAAGAGCGCAATTATTTGTTTACATTTTACCGGCAAGTTTTGTAAGATGGTACTCAGAAAAGAATCTTGTACGGCTTCTGATTGGATGATACAGGATTGGAATTACTTTTAATCGAAAGCCTATCCAATTAGGTTTAAAAAATCCAGAAAATCAAATTCATATTTTACAAAGTATAGAAAATATATTCAATTTCTGCACGTAGGAGCCATTAAAAATTTGCCTTTTTCATTAAACGAAAACAATAGACGTTGTTTTTCAACTGCATTTTATGTCAGCTTTTGCCACATGATAATATACTTTTTTGGCTTTTACGTAAGGCTGACGTTTCTAGTAACAGGAACTGCTACCCATTTTTTTCTAGTTTGTGTAGTCTTTGAGAAATAAAATATAAAGCACCACACTGCTCAAAGGAAAATGCATTACGTATAATTGCGCTCTTGTAATCGCAATGAAACATGTGTTCAATCTAAATCTGTATTCTTGGTTTTTTTTAAACTTTTATAGCTAAAATAATGAACATTGTTTTTCAACATTTCATTTTTACAAATTATTGCTTTTCATATAATATGCTCGATTCTGGGTCAATTT